AAACTTTATATATTTTAATTGCAAATATTTTACCAATTGCTTCTTTAAAAACATTAGGGAACTTGCTATACTCTACCAATCAAGCCCAGTGACACTCCATTTATTTTCCATCACTCGAACACTGAAAAGTAAAAAGATATATGAAATCAGATCCATTAAATTCTAAGATTTGATTTACATTTCTAATTAAAATTGTTTTGATCATACGTATAGATAATTATATAAAAATTCCAAAATTCTAAAATTTCAAATACATACAAAAATAATCATATGTAAATTTTAAATTTGTGAATATTAAAATTTTATATTTTAATTACATATATTCACCCTGCGCAAGGCGCAGGTCTTATCCTAGTATGCAGTTATTTTGGAAGGCTATGCAAACCATCACACTACAGAACATTTACATAATTAAAAAAAAAAGTGTCCCGTTCTTGCAAACCCGTTTTTCTTTCCAAATTTTTGTATTTGTATTTTATATTTTTAATTTTATTCAGTTTTTCCTATTGTAGAATTTTTGTTCTTCCAATCTTAAAACAATGCAAAATCTCAGATTAAGATTGTAAGAACGCAAATTCTATAATAGAGTGAACTAAATAATTATAAATCATTTGTAATATATGAATACAAAAATTTGTAAATAAAAAACAGGGTTATAAAGATGAGACATTCTTTTCTTAATTATGTAAACACTCGGTAGTGTGACTATTTGCATGGAGTTCCAAAATCCTAATATACAATTGCGAAATTGTATGTCTTCCATCACTGAAAACATAACCTATCAAACCTATTTTGTGTATATTTCTAAAACTTATAAAAGTCACACAATATAAAGAATCAAATATTCAAGTGGGAGAGTTATTTTTTGTTATGGGTGTTCGTATCTTCTAAATGAGAACACACATGTTTTTTTTTTTCTTTCTGAAACTGACATGTTTTATATCTTTCAAATCATGAAACGCACATTGTTGACGTTATGGAGTATTTCTTTTTTTGTTCAGCACGTTATGGAGTATTTAGTAACAAATCAATTGCCATTAGGGTGAGTCAATCCCCTTAACTAATTATTAGATTTTGATCTATGTATTTATTTTAACAATTAAAGAGATACGACATACAGTAAAACCTTTATAAATCAATATTCGATAAATTAATATACACTAAATATCTCTATAAAATAATATAATTTTATAGTCCCAAATTGAATTTTTGGTTCAGTTAATATATGGTTCAGTTTTTGGTTCATGTTTATTGTACATAAATATTATTATATTAGTGTCGGATTAATATTTGTGTTGAATGTTATTATTTTTTGTTATATGCTATTTTATACAATACTAAGTGTTGTGTATCATTGAACTTTTATCCCATATAAAATTATTAATAATAAAATAATTAGTTAATTATTAAAAAAAATATTTGCTTTTAGAGCAATTTTATATTATTCATTTACAATATTATTATTTAATTTTTTAAAATAGTTATTATAAATAATATAAACTCACTGTTTATTTTTGGACATGGAAAATGATATTCCTTGTGTTTCATTATAAATGTCACTTTAGTTTTGTTCACACGGATTAAAGAAATAATTAACTTTGTATATTTTATATATAAAAAAAATACTACCTATACACCTAACTATATTTCAACCAATAGAAAAAAAAAATTGCATAATTAAATTAATAAATTTTGTATTGAAAGCGAAAATGAAACTTATTTTGTAACGAAAAAATTCTATTGTGACACTTAATATGGAAACGAGGGAGTATGTTTTAATATGACAAAATGGTAAAAATGGTTTTATACGATTTATATCATATTATCTGTATTTATTCTTATACGCAATGAATCAAAAGTAAAATTAATAAATTGTTTACTTTAAAAAAATTGTTAAATATATTGTCATTCGGAATTAATCTTGACTATAATTAAACTTAATAAGTATTGTATTTTTAAGGAATTTTTGTAAAGATTAATAAGTGCTGAAAATTGATTATTTTGTTTTTAATGATATTAATTATAATTTATTAGCTTAAGAGTAAATTCATTTTTGTACTTCAGTTTATATAATATATATCCCCTATATATTAATTGGGATTATTTGAAAGTAGTAACCTTAAATTTGTATTAATTAAAAATAACTTCAATCATATGTAGCATATCTCTTTCCCTTCTAAATTTTATTTAACACAATTTGAGAGCACCTTACGTATATCATAGTTTAAACATATATTTACTAGAAAGATGTTGGTCGCATATCTTATTAATCTTAAAAATTTATTATTCATTCTTTCATTAAATAAAACCTATGAATTACCTAATGTGGTTAAAATATATATAGCAATTAATAATTTCAATAATAAAGCTTTGTTAATAATTTGTATACCCTCTACCATTTTTGTTTATATATTTGTTATTAAAATAAATTACACAATTATATTATTTCTATAGTAAAAATTAATATTTTGTATATATTGTATTTTGATTTTTTTTAAAACGGATATAAATTACTAAACTTTTAAAAGTCTCAAATAAACTTTTTGTGATCAATGATTTAAAATTTTATTACAATAAGATACAAATAATTATAAAATACATAAGTAAGAAGTCTTATTTAATATGTTTATATTAATACATATATATTATTTGAATTAAATTACAAACCATATAAAATATATACTTCTATTTTGATATTTTCTTTGAAAAAATATTGAGAATTTAATATTTTAATTTTAAAATTTGCATTCATTTTTAATAGTTCAAAATATATTGATAATCATAAAACCATATAATGAGAAAATTCATTTACTAAACATCCATATTAAAATATATTATAGATATTGGTAATGTCATCTAAATTTAATTGTATATAATATACGATGGATAAAATTGACTGTTTTGATTTATTTACCATAAAATGATTGTTAATAAATAAGAGTGGTCTTTTGATTTAAATGCACACACCAAATTATTTATATAGGTAATAGTGATTGAGTTCTCGGTTATTCAATTTATAATTTTTTTATTTATTATTTCATAATATGTTGAAAAATATAAAATAAATAATAGTACTGCGCAGATCTTGTATAAAAAGTTAAGAAAAGAAAATAAAAACAAAATTTTATTTGTATGATTTCACCATATACCACAAATTGTGAATGAATAATATATAAAGTACGATCCATGATACTTACAAATTATTTTTCCACCATTTATAAATGATTATATAAACAATTTCAAATTCTATTTAGTTTATTGATCGACCAACATATTAATTATTTTTCTCATAACTAAATGTTTATATTTTTATTTTTTAAACTCACTCCGCGCAAGTCAAAAGCAATAAAACAATTTCCAATGGATAATATAAATTTTATATTTACTTTTTTGTCAGCAATATAAAATTTGTTTTTATGAACATAAAAATATTATATGAATGAGATATGTACAATAATTATTGGATTTCCAAATTT